ACGCCGCGATCTGCGCGCGCTGGGCGTCGAGCTGGCGGCGGTGTTCCTTGCATTTCAGGAAAATCGCGGCGGGCTCGACGCCGACGGGGAGGCCATCCGCGAGGACGCGGCGCGAGACATCCGCGTCGGCGGTGCGGCCGAGGCTGCTGTGGGAGCTCTTCGCGCGGCGGATGAGATCGGCCAGGAGGTGGCGGTTATCCAGCTGATGACGCTCCTCGGTGAGAAGGGAAACGGGCATCCCGACGGAGGTCCTTTTCGGAGCCCGCCTGGGGTTGGGTTAGTCGGAGTGACCAGCAAGAAGGGGAGGGGGGAGTTGGTTTTGGAGAGAGGGATAAAGATGCCGTGGTGAGCTCTTCTTGTTTTTTGGTCGTTGGAAAGGGGGGGAGGGGTTCTCTCGAAAGAATGTAGGAAAGCAACGAGAGCGAATCGTTTTGGGGGCAACCTTGCGTAGTTGCCCAGCTCTGGGGAGGATATGGATTGGTTTTGGATTTTCGCCTTTTTTATGCGCCGATGAGTACCTTGGAAAAAGACTAACGAACGCTATCTTAATGAACACGAAATGTATGCTTGTGTGCGTAAGAATGATAATCGCTATCAGCCCTATTAATATCCTTCGATGCATAAAGAATAGATGGGTTTGATTATTTTAGAACCCTGTTCACACCGCATACGCACGTAAAGAAACATATATATTTTTTGACATATTGGTGAAATTCAAGAATAGATAGACATGCTTTGCGCTACCTCTCGGCGTTTTCTTCTGGGAGTTTCGTCTATTTTCCGACAATCCTTCGATAAAAGTGACCTTATGGATGTTAGGAATGCAAAGGAAAGCATTTATTGGTTTCCTTATTATTTAGAAGGGAAAATTGTTTTACAAGATACACAAAGTAAAAAAAACATTGAAGGTTCTCCCTATCACTTTTAGTAAATAAAGTAATAACAATAGATTGAACAGTTGCGTCGCTATAATACGAAGTATGACAGTGTAAAAGGTAGGATATTAGTTTAACAAGCGTAGATCAAAAAGTTTATTTAACTTTACGGAGAAAGAAAAGGACCTAAACCTGAAATTTGTAGAAATCGATCAATCGCAAGTGGTCTTCAATGTAAATCACTTCATCCGCCTTTGACAACAGACTAAGGCGTTTTGTTAAGAAGACCGAACCCGAGGGACTAATCGTGATGATTAAATATGAAACTCACCGAACATCACACTCGAACATGGAGCATTTACCTAAATTCTAAAAATTTCTATGTCACCACTAAATATATATTGTAAAAATATAAAAATCGTTGAGTGTGATGCCTGATGTCATATTATATATATATATATATAAAAGAGCGTGTGAAACGGAAAAAAACAATAGTTTGGAATAGCGCTTTCCTTCCAAAAAAAATTAAAATAATCAAAACGTAATTCATTTTCACTTTCACTCTAAAACACGTCCACAATGTCTTACTCTCTGCTGCATCACTACCTGCACACACATTTTTCGCAGAAAAAAATGAAAAATAAGAAGCCACAACTTCTTCTATTTCTCATGTTATGTCAAATGCAACATCATTTATCTACTCCACTTCACTCACGCTCCCCTCCTCCCTCAAAATCATCTCTTCCTATTAATGCAGCGTGAGTCACCTTGACTAGAGGCAGTCAGGTGAAACATGAAAAAACACCAAACCTTTTCATTAATCCCGACATCCACACACATAAAAAGATATACAATCTAACACAGCAACACACAATTGGGAAAATAATAACAATAAAAGTAAATTAGGTAAACACTAAAATAAATAAGCAACTATTTGAGTGAGCTTAAAAGCTCTTTTTGTAGGCATCGTGTGATTTGCGATCGTTCAACTTTCCTGCTCACCTCCGTCCAAATCCAATTTTTTTGTCCCCCTTCAACAATCCAATAGGCTTATACCTAAATGAGAAGGGGGGAAAGGGAGGAAAATATCGCCAATTTCATCTTTTAGTGTAGTTCAATGGTGGCGGTGGGGGGGGAGGGGGGGGGAGAGGGGGTTCAATTAAGGATTCTCATTTCCATTTTCTGCAGGACTCCCTCTTTTAAATAGCAAAACTTATGCACATAGGAAAGGATCGATGTTTTGCCTTTCGTGGAGTTTCCTTTTTTCCCTAACTTAACCTCTTTTCGTTTATCTGTACATTTTTTTTCGTTATGCCAGCATCCATTAATCCCTTCTGATGAAGATTATACTCGAATAAAAAGCACACACATCAAGTATCCTTTTGGGGTGTGATAGGGGTATAGAGGGAGGTATCGATAAGTCGAGCCTAGGATGTTATTGCTGGTCATGCTTTCCTTTTAGTTGGTATCAGCACGCAATGACTAACGTTTCTTCAACTAATGGCAAACTGGGGATCTATTCCCACAGAAATTAATATTATACTTACTTCTGTCGACATAAATGCAGATAAAGTAAGACAGTAGATTCGCATTAATAGGAATAAGGTAGTGAAGTGTCGGAGGAGGGAGGAGGAAGAAAGGGAGAGGGGAAATAGAAGGGATGAAGCGTAACGAGGATGAAGGAGTAAACCATTCCTTTCCTCTTTTTTTGCGTGTGTGGATGTTGAGGGTGGGGGGGGGTGGGGGGGATAGAAGGGAAGAGGAAGGAAAAGGGGAGGGTCTTCCTTTTTTTTTTCTTGCTTGCTTGACAAACTCTTTGGAGAGGGTTCATCTGCCACTCGGTTGTACACTTTCCATATGCCTTTCATCGCCTTTGTAGGCAGTCTGATCGTTTGGTCACCTTTTTCTTCTTCTTCTTCCTTCGTCCCCCCTCCTCCCCTCCCCTCCTCTCCCTTCTCACGCCTTTTTTTTTTTTAAAACATCGAGCTGATCGCGCACACCGCGTACAACACATCGGCAAAGCTGTTATACAACGGCGCGAGGGTAAGGCGGATGACGTCGGGCGGCAGCGGATCCACCATCACCCCGGCATCGAGCAGCTGCGCGTGGAGGACGCTCGCATCGCACGCATCCACGCCGACCGCGCTCTCCGCCGCGAGTTTGACCTTCCCGGGAAGGACGCGGATGGAGAGCTGCGCGCCGCGCCGGGCGGGGTCCGCCGGGGTGATCACATCCACACACCCCGTCAGCTGCATCTCGCTAATCAACAGCTCCAGATACGCGGTGAGGAGGAGCGATTTTTGCCGAATCGCGTCGATCCCGGCGGCGGCGAGGGTGCGCAACGCGGGGCGCAACACCGCGAGCCCGAGGGTGGGGGCGGTGAAGCAGTCGG